AGCACTGTGGTACCAGCAAAAAATTTAAGAGTCACCTCGTTTATCTGCTATTGTAATTTATTCCCTCTATTAGTATTAATTGTATCTCCGGAATATCTAAATGGGGAAAGGCCAAAACTCAGCTGTCCTAAAACTTAATTATTAAAATATCATTCCTCCTTGCTTTCTATGGAATCTATATATTTATAGAATAATGCCTCCGCCTTCCTCTCTGTCACCTGGGCCACATTACCCTCCACTAATGCTTCCCTCCACCACCTGCATGCATTGAAAACTCCTGAATGCAGGGATCTTTTCAATTCTTTGTATCTCCAAGACAATGTCAGGTACATATAAAGTCAACAATACATGTTTCTTGACTTAATGATTGTCTGAAATCCAGCTTCTCTGCCTGACCTACATTTGATTAAAATCCTATCTGTTTATTCAACAGTCTTCTCCAAAAAACTAACACCATCATGACATCTGAAGCTCTATCAGAGACAGAGAGATGAATTTATCCTGATTTCTGCCTTTATAAAATCCATCGTGTTGAAGCTAACTGAAAGATAATGTAAACATAGTAACAACAAAAATCTCTTGAAAACTTAGTATGTTCCAGGCACTATATTAAATATCTTATATGTAATATCTCATGACAATCCTCCCCATTTTTATGAATGGCAAACAAGAGACTGAGTTATTATTTAACTTACCTAAGGTTGTACTCATAAGGTTAAAGTGGACAGTATCAGAAAAACAGCATCTGATAAGATGTTTTGTGGACAAGAAAAGAGAGAGAACACCCAATGGTGACCTAGAGTATCAGAGGAGACTCATGAAAATGTCAACTCTGAACTAGAATGAATGGTTCCCAGAACATGTCCATATCCCCTTCCTGCTGTGTTTCACACGTTCTGTCCTCTTTCCCTGGTATGTCCCCTTCCTCCAAGCTCACCTTAATTTTCTAAACCCTAAATTCTTAACTAACTTTTACAGAGCTAACTCTTTCCCTTATGAATGAGCCTCTGTGTCTTTTTTATGTCTACATATATATCATTGAATTTTAATTAATTTCCATCTGTCTGCCCATCTTCCAAATCAGACCATAACCTCCTGAGAACGGGGCATCACCCTTCAGCTCTATGCCCTAATGTCTACCATAGTTCTTTGCATATAACAGATGCTCAACCAGTGATCACTGAATTAAATAAAATAATGAAATAAAAATTATACTTTTTATTGAGCACTTGGCATAGACCAGGCAAAATGACAAATCCCTTGCATATATTATCTTATTTAATATTCATTGCCTCCTCATTTTACAGATGAAGAAATAACATGCAGAGAAGTAGCTTGTCCAAAAGAAACACTGAAAGACAAATATTTTGGACAGGTGGGAGGGGATAGGAGAAAAAACAAAATTAGCAAGATATTCTAAAATGTGTTTCTATATGAAGAAGGCTTTAGAATTATTTGCACTCTCCCCCTTCTCCTTCTTACCCAAACTGAACTTTCAGGTTAGATCTTTTCTGCTATCCTATCTTTCCCCTCTATCCCACCATGGCCCAAATGACCTAACTTCAATTTTCCACCTCTTTCCATCGTCCCAGAGGTCCTTCTAGTGCTTTTATCCCCAGGGAATTTTTACTCTCTGCTGAAGCCCTAATCACAGGATAAATACTCCAATTCCTTTGATCCTTGCACTCTAAACCCTACAGCATCTAACACTGCACTACCACTCCCTGCCCTAGACCTGGTAAGTCTGTCTGTTTGTTCAACCCTATAATAGGCACACTATAGTCAGACCAAAGACCTGACTGCCACTAAGATAATGTCAATAAAAGAGACTTACAAGTGAATCATGCTGTGCTAGATAGTGCCTTGCTCTTCAGATAAGTATCTTCTATAATAATTCCTCACAGTAGCCTTCCACTAATGAATGCTGAGTTCTTGGTAGGTAGCTTCCAGAAGCTCATGAACACCTCCATCGATGAAGAACATTCTCCTTCTCTGTTCCACGTACTTGAGCTTCTATTCTTATATACAGGGGTATGCAAAATTAAGTTTACTGTTGTAAGTACACAAAACACAGAGTTTATTCTTGTATTGTTATTTATTTACTTACTTATTTATTTATTATTGTATTATTATTATTAACCTAATTTTTCCCAGCCCTATATTTTAAGTAAGGCCTTTCTTATACCAAATATTAACATAATGCAGCACAAAGGGAAGTGTGAAACATAAAAGTAGTTATTCTGGGTGAGTCATCTGGAAGAGGCTAGGAGTTTCTCTTTGCCTGACCTCCAGAGGGAGATGAATTAGAAGAAAATAACAGTAGGGTATAGCAGAAGAGGGTTCACAGGCAAGAAGAAGAAAGCTGTCCCTAGCCATTCACCTTTACCATGGAGAAGGTTCTGTAGCCATGCCATTCACTGATCTCTGCAGCCAGAGATCAGTGAATTAAACGGAAGTGGCAAAGGCTCCTTTGGACACTGGTGATGATAACCCACCTCCTGCTTTGCATCATTTCCCAGTGCCCTTGATCTAAATCAAATACTAGTGAGAGGGCCAGGAAGTGAGAACCCCAAAGCCTTCACACTGACCTTGATCTCTTTCCTAGAACATAGGCATTTTTTGCTCAGCATATGCTTTTCCAACCTCATTTTCCCCATCTGTGAAAATGGGACTGAAGCACAATGAGCTCTGAGGTCATTGTGCTAGGCAGCTACAGAGATTGAGTAAAAGTTGTATGAGTGGTTGCTCAGGAACTGATGAGAGTTAATTCAATTATTAAAAAGCTGAGTGGAAGCCCTGGCTGGTGTAGCTCAGTGGATTGAGCTCAGGCCTGTGAACCAAAGGATCGAGGTTCAATTCCCAGTCAGGGCACATGCCTGGGTTGCAGGCCAGTTCGAAGCAGGTGATGCACAAGAGGCAAACATACATTGATATTTTTATCCCTCTCTCCTTCCCTTTTCCTCTAAAGATAAATAAATAAAATCTTTAAAAAAAATAACGGCTGAGTGGAAGAGGAAAAGGGAGAGAAGTAAGGAAGGCTGTCTCATTTATGGCTGGGTAATTCAGTTCTTCATTTTCTCTGCACCAAAGAAAGAGCACTGAAACAGAGACACTCCAAAAACAATTTCTTACCTAACTATATCTGTCTTCTGAGTATAGCCTTGTTCATACATTTTTCACAGCAACATATATAGATAATCACATGCTCAGCCAAACACATAGCATGCTCATTCATACAATGGGCTGGTTTTACATGTACTATTTGATAAGGTCTTCCCCACCAGCAACTCAGATTTTTCTGTTCTTGACCCTTCGGTCACCACCTAAACTGAAATCCCTCAGAATATGCTCAGGCAAGGGCTGAATGATGGAAACTCAGGGAGGGAGATAGCACAGAAGAGAAAATAGGAAACACATGGAAGAGGGAGTGATAAGTCAAAGAGAGACAAGGCAATTTGTTCAATATCACAGTAACAGCAACAGTTAGTGCTGAGATGGGAAAGCAAGCATCCTGGTCCAGGGTTCCTTCCCTTCTTCCTGTCTCTCTCTCTCTCTCTCTCTCTCTCTCTCTCTCTCTCTCTCTCTCTCTCTTTCTGGGTATGGATAGCTAATGCAAGGAATTTCAAGGATATTACAGCTTAAGGTAAAGGACACAAATGGGCTCTCTCCAGAAGGCCCAATTAGTTGGCTATGTCTGTCCCAACTAGCAACCAGAAGATCATCACATTTTATTATATTAGAAACCAGTGTGAGAAAGTGAGAAAGGAATCTCTCTCTCTCTCTCTGTCTCTATCTCTCTCCTCTTTTCTACTCTCTCCTATGTCAATTTCTTATTTTTTCTTTCCTTTTCATCCTCATCTCCCCTCCCTCTAATGTCCCCTTCTTAAGTTTTTTATTAATCTCCCATCTTTTTCAAATTCTCAATCACTGGCTGTCTAGTGGATGCAAGGAAAAATGAGAAGGCACATGTAAGTGAAGGAAGATGAGGGGATATAGAGAGTATGGGTAATGGACAAAGAGATGGGGTGGATATGTGTAGAAGCTCAGTACTGTCATTTGACCAGTTAGTTTCCATATTTGCTTACAGTGAATGATTTTGTTCCCAATGATTGAAATTCACCTTTTACCCCCTTTCTTTCATGTACTTTGATTTCTCTAAGAAAATACACTTTGTATGCAATCATCTGTCAATAGCCTTATCAAATTACATATTATGGCCGAATCAGCCTAACACCTACCACTGACCAATTCTGCATGACCTCACTTGTTTCTACCAGCATCTATACCAGACACCTAAGGCAAGCAAGGCATCTAGTACTGACATAAGCAAAAAAAAAAAAAGAGCTTAGTGATGTTATGGCTGTAGCAAGCTACACGAGATTCAGCCCCTCACCATATGTTTTGCTGTTCCTGGTTATAACCCAGGCTCTGAGCCTCATCTGTGAGTAACCACAGGCTCAATGACTTGAAAAACCCATCCAAAATCTCCCCGTTTTCCCTTATCTTCCCCTCAGTCCTGACTTTTCCATCTTGAAAAGTAACGACATTTGAGTCTTCCATCCAATCTGCCTGAACTTTATTATTACATTGCCCTTATTCTGTCATACAGGCAAATGATTCAGAGGAGAATAACAAAGTATAGGCAGAAGATGGTTCACATGCAAAAAGAAGAAAGCTCTAAATGTCTCTAGCTTCTCAACTTCACCATGATTCACCAGGATTCTATAGCCATGACATCGTTGAATTAGACACAAATGCTAAGGACTCCCTTGAACCCTCAAAGTGAAAATTTCAGCTCCTGCCTTGAATCATTTCCTAGTGCTCTACAATCTTCTCATCCTGGATGTTTTTTCATGAAGCCTAATTCTAATATTTTCTGCTACCATTTCAATTTCAGCCACAGCATGAGAGTAAATCCCAATGGCTTGATCTCTCAGGGTTTTCCATATCTAAGAGCAAGGCAGTGAGGTCTTCTATACCCACCCAACCTTGACCTGGCTATGCAATTCACAAACCACAGCCATCAGAACCCAAACTCTTTCCTGCTAATGGGAATTCCTGGCCTGGAGGAATCCCACTTTTGGATTGCATTTCCCTTCTGTTCCATGTATACCCTGGCAGTGCTTGGCAACATGGTGGTGCTATTGGTGGTGCATTCAGAGCCTGCACTGCACCAGCCCATGTATCTGTTCCTATGCATGCTGTCCATCATTGACTTGGTGCTCTGTACTTCTACGGTGCCCAAGCTCCTCGCACTCTTTTGGGCAGATGCTGCTGAGATCGCCTTTGAAGCCTGTGCTACTCAGATGTTTTTTATCCATGGTTTCTCAGCTGTAGAATCTGGTATACTGCTAGCAATGGCCTTTGACCGCTACTTGGCCATCTGCTGGCCCCTGCGTTATGGGTCATTGCTGTCTCTAGAGGCTGTGGGCAAGCTGGGGGCTGCTGCTGTGTTTCGTGGGTTGGGGCTCATGACCCCACTCACCTGCCTACTGGCAAGGCTGAGCTACTGTAGTCGAATGGTTGCCCACTCCTACTGTGAGCACATGGCTGTGGTGAAGCTGGCTTGTGGGGGCACACGGCCGAACAACATCTATGGCATCACTGCTGCCACACTGGTGGTAGGCACTGACTCCATCTGCATTGCTATCTCCTATGCACTCATCTTCCGGGCTGTGTTAAGCCTCTCCTCTAAGGAAGCAAGGGCTAAGACCTTTGGTACTTGTGGCTCTCACCTGGGTGTCATCCTCCTCTTCTATACACCGGGACTCTTCTCATTCTACACACAGCGCTTTGGCCAGAATGTGCCCCGGCACATCCACATCCTCCTGGCTGATCTCTACCTTGTTGTACCACCCATGCTCAACCCCATCATCTATGGCATGAAGACCAAGCAGATCCGGGATGGGGCCTTCCGACTGCTGAAGAGGGGCCCTTCTCAGTCATAACCTCTTCAACCCCAGCCCAGAGAGCTATTCTCTTCCCTTAGCCTTTGAGAAAGATATATAAGAGATCAGCGGCTTCCAGCATGGTGGAAAGAAAGAAACCCCCATTCACTGGTATTCTTATTTGATAAGGAGATTTAGCACAAATCCGAGAGGGTTAGAGCCACCAGGTGTTTCCTGCTTGTGCTGTAGTTATTGTTACAAAGCTCTGGGAGACCCTGTCTAATGGGAAACATGGTTACCAAGCTCATGATGGCCTCCCAGGAAACCCTGCTCTGCTGTTCTGACCTTGTTCCTACCTTCCAGAAGACCTTGATAAAATGAGAAATAAATGACTACTGGTCTGACATGGAAAAATAGCTATCATCCACAGTCAGGAGTTTTTACCCCGATAGGGATACACAAATACCTTCCTCAGTGAGCTTTAAGCCTGACAGGAAAAATAGAGAGACAGAGACAGAGTAAGAGAGGAAAGAGAGAGAGAATTTGAAAAGCAAGGAGATTGTTGGAGGAGGTAAACAAGAGGATGTGACTGCTGGTTGATTGTTGAGCTGGACCCAGGCAATCTAAGGCTCCCCACCACTTCCCCTATCCATGGACTATACACTCTGCCTACTGTTCCCACAGTGGAAGCTGTTCCAAGGACATAGCCTTGAGAAAGTAAGGCATTATTGAGACTGTCTGGACTGAATATATGACTGAACCCAGTTAAGGTCTCTATATAAGATTCCGTTGGATGAGTGCAGAGAACTATTCATCTTGCAATTGCCCAAGACAAACTCTATGTAAGTTCCCTTGCCTATTAAACTGCTGCCTACCCACCTGGAGTGATATGCCTCTTTCTTTGGTCTCTCCCTGCCCTCTCTGTACAGGGGCCACTTTGTAAACTAACAGTGACAGAGCACTTAGCAATGGGCTATGGGGACAAATAAATAAACAAAGAATCATGGGCAAGCTATATCTATTATATAGAGGAATAAGCAAATATATTACTACTATCTAGGGATATGGTCCTGATTAGGTCACACATCCCTCTCTTAAGGTGTCTGCTCATTGTCAATCAAAGTTTATTTACATGTAAGCAGAAAGCAGCCAACCCAAATTAACCAATATGATTAAGGTAAGCACAGGAACCAAGAGTACTGAGAAAGATCACCTCCTGTCTGGAGATGCCCACCCTCTGAGGAAAAAAAAAAATTTTATGAAGTATAACTTACTTAAAATAAAATGCATATATTAAATACATAGTTTTATGATCTCTAATAGATGTATACATTAGTATAGCCACCATCTTAATCAAGATACAAATTATTTTCATAATCCCAGGAAGTTTCCATGTGTTCCTTCCAAGTAATACCCTTGCACCCCCCATTTTCTTTTTATATATCCAAATTTTTATGTAGTATTTATTTTCCGCATTCTTGCACTATATGTTTGTTAATAAGAAATTATCTCAGCTTTTTCATAAAATGTCCTTATTCATTTTTTATAAAAATGTTTGCCAACCATATAATTCTAGATTGACAGGTTTATTCTTCCTTCTAATACTTTAAATATTCTGTTCCTTTGTTTTTTATCTCATTTTTTATCATGAAAGTCAGTCATCATTTTTATTTTTGCTCCCATATGTGTAATTTTTGAACTGGCTTCTGTTACATTTTTTCTCTTTATATTTGATTTTCATCAGTTTGATGCTTCAATGTAATTTCCTTTGTATTTCTTTTGTTTAAGACTCACCAAATTTCCTGGGTCAGTGGGTTAATTTTGTATTTTGCAACCCAAATTTAGAAAATGTTTTCAATTAGTTCACTAATTTTTTGTGTTGAGTCCCTTTTCCTCTCCTCCTGGGACTTTAGATACATATATGTCAGACTACTTAGATACCCAATAAATGTTACTCAGTTCATATATCTTAACTCTTCTCTCTCTGTTCGATTAACTTGGTCTTCAAATTCACTGATCTTTTATTTTGCATTGTCCAATCTGATGTTATTTCCAACTATGATTTTTTTTACTTCATGTGTATTTGCAGATCTAGAATTTTTATTTGATTTTTAAAATACATTTCTAACTTTCTCCCTAAATCCCCAAATAATCTACCCATTTATCCTTTTCTGGTAGATTATTCAAACTTTTTATAATTAACATGTTTGTCAACTGTTTCTAAAATGTAGGTTATCAGAAGTCTTTCTTTGTAATTTTTCTCCTGATTATGCTTTTGTAGTATGTATATATAGTAATTTTTCAATATATACTAGACGTTCTAAATGATGCTCTGAAAAATATGAGGATTCTCTTACCTTTCTTGAAGACTTTTTAATTTTTATCTAGCATTCATAGTTAACATATTGCTGGGTCTGTGAAATCTTGATCCTATGAGGTTTAACTTCAAGCCCTATTAAGACTTTATTATTTCATTTTACCCTTACTGGGAAATCATAGCCCTTAGTACTTAGAAGTACTGTTAAGGCACAGCCATTCTGAAGTTTTAATCAAAGACCGAGATGTTACCAATTTCTCCCAACTTAGTGAAACTTAAATGTCAAACTCTGTCTTGCTAACACCAGGAAATTGCTGATATCAGAGATGTTACACTAAATGAAGTTACTGTTCAGTGACTTTCTCAGTTGCAATCTCTGACCTTGTGATTCAGGACAAGTTACACCTTGTGGCCAGGATCACTGCACTCTGTCCACCTTTCATTCTGGTCCAGCTGATCCATTACAACATGTTCTGTTCTGTTGTCTTATCTTCTCCTCATGCCCACCTGTTCTCACCTGAGGGTCAGTTTTAGGACCCTTTGGGGTTTTTCAGTCCTTTTTGACATCTGCTCCCTAAGCATTCTAGCAGCAGGATTAGGAGTCTAAGCCTTCCTCAGGATACCACTTTTCTCTATTTTGTAACTCCAACAGACCTGGGACCAACATTATTTCCTATTGAGAAGGGTGATTAGATGGACTTAAACAAGTTAGTGCTATTAATCAAGTCTTTGAAGCAATGGGTAACAATGAGTAAAGTGGCTGCCTGGGCCACCTGAAAAATTAGAAAACAGATACTAGATATCTTGGTGGCTGGAATCAGAAAAATGTCCTTGTGAAGTAGGTTAAGACAAACTTCAGTTTTGCCAGGAAATGAAGACAGTTTCAAAAGTCATAAGAGTAATATACAGAGCCTGACCCACCTCAGAATACAGGGTCAAAAGAGGAAAAGACTACAAAGAAGGGAAGGAATTGATGAAGTAAAAAATTGTATAGGAGTTTTATTAAATTTTATTACATTGATACAATGCTTCTCGGCTGGAGTTCAAAGATCTCTGGATTTCTCTGTGGGTGGAAAATAAGAAATATATCATGTTTATATATTCTACAATATTCTTTGCATGTGAGTTATTCTCTCTAGAGCCAGGTACTCAATTTCTCCACTAACACAGTTCTAAGATATAACCTGGTTTGGAAGCAATTAAGAGTGATGAGTGGATCTTGAAGAAAACATGAAGAAAGTTCTTGCAAAGCATCTGCTTGGGTTCAGGCAAAGAGAAACAATTCTCTTCTGGCAAGGTAAGGAAGGTGCTTCAGCCAGCCTGAAAAATTCAGAAGATATTGAAGGTCCAGTAGTTCAGACACATTCACCAAAATGCTTCATTTCTTGGTCTTAAGGCCCCACACTTTTTCCATCAGGGAATTTCCTTTGACGTAGATGACCTATTGATCCTGAATTGATTCAGTGTTCTTTATATTCCTGCCACCCTGGGCTTGATTTTCAGCAGTCTGTCCTCTGGCTACAGGAATTTACTATCTCCTTTAAAGCTACCATGGAAGACCTCTGTCTTTTGCGTCATGTTTTAAGTCAGTTGAGTTAGTTGGATGGCACAACCCTGTCATTTTATTTTTGCAAGGCTATCTACCAGTGCCATCAAAAATCAGTCAACCCACATGCAATCCTTAAAATTATCATGTCCTCATGCCAATCAAGTACTCCAGCCTATCTATATCCAAGCATTTCTTTTCACCTTTACCTCATTCCAACTAAGAGTGGGAAATTTTTAGTAAATGTACCTCACTGTAAGACATGTATTATTATCACTTCATAAACTGTCAACAACGTGGTCCCTGATATTTTCAGACTCATGTTCAATCCATTGACATAATACTACCCTGAGAATTTACTTTTAAGGGCCATTTCTTTTATCAACTCTCTTAGGTTGAGTTTGCTTTAAAAATGGAGGTAAAACTATACATGCACACACTGTATTATCTTTTTAGGAGAGTGTACTATCTTTTTAGGAATGAAAGGGGGAAAAGAAGTGAGGCAAGAAAGGAATGCATTACTAAGCTGCCACCAACCTTGCCATGAACTGATTGCTCAGTATCCCAGATGTCTTCTAAAGGGCTCTATTGAATGGTTCATTTCCACACAGACCATAATGGGAGGTGTGGGGAGAAAGATAATTTATCTGATTACTCTTTACCTTCCATTGCTTAAAGTCATACTATAGTGAGTTAATCCCCTTGTACTTCCAGGTTGCAAATGTGTAAATGCCTAAGCAGGTTCCATGACAATTCAATCTTCAGAAGCAACAGGGAAGCCTCAGCCAGACCCAAAAGGCATGCAATAATTCCAGCAAAAACATGATGGTGTTTTACCAAGCACCACGTGCTGTGATGTCAGGATGTGTTAGGAACATGAGAGACTGGGAGCACCCTCTGTAGCAAGCTCTGCAGCTTGGGACAAATGGGAATAGCAGGGACAGGAGCAACTTGGCTCTGCAACCTCAAGAACAGCACAAGCAACTCCTAGGACCCTCTGGCTGCCTGACCAGATAGCCATCAGGACAAGTACACAGATCCAGGCTGAACAAACTCAATTTGGTACAGTGAGGGAACAGTTCAGGAGTCTGAGAATGAAAGACCCAGAGAGATATTGGAGAAAAGCAAGAGTATATCTTAGAGGAAAAGTGATAAGGTATTACAAGGTGAAGAGAATGACCAATTGCTTCAAAGGCT